ACAAGAACCTCCCTCCCAACAGTGCTCAAGTCGAATTAAATTGCGAAAAACAACCACATTTCTCTCCCAATTTTAAGACGCATTACGCAACCAAACCAGACAACACAACAGCAAAACAGAGCGGGACATACCTCGATAATCTCGAGTAGCTCAAGTAAGCATAAAGCTGAGCTCAGATCCAGTTCAGTAGTTGATGGAAGAAAAAGAAAAGAGAAAAATTACAGTGAAATGAAGCTGGAGATGACGAAGAGTTGAAGAATCCGTTCCTTTTCCCTTCCCCTTTTCAAGTCAATCTCGTGGTCGCCTGATTCTCCTGGAATTTCTATTGAGCTAAAGATGTAAATCTCCACAGTCCTCTCAACTCCACCATCTCCAGTTCTTCACCCTTCAATTTTAGAAATCTTTGTTTATACTCTCTACTCTGAAAATTGTTTTATTTTTTTATTTTTTTATTTTTTATTTTTCTCTTTTTTTATTTTATGGGGAAAATATAAGTGATGTGAATATCGGACACAGCTACGTATGAATTGCGTAATAAATATAGTCTAATAAAATTGAAGTGAAATAAGCGAAATTCTTCCTTTTCTATTTTTAAATATATTTTTTTTAAATATATATATTCATTCAAACAATTTTTTATTTAAAAATTAGTAAAAATATAATATAATATCCGACCTAATTTATTATTTACTTGTTTATTTAATTACCCAAAGAAGTAAAATATTAAATAAATATATACTAATTAATTTTGTGTTAGTTTTAATATATATAAAAATTGAGGTTGGGCGAGGGCGGGAATAAAGGCGAGGACGAAAAGTGTAATCTCGTCCAACTAGGAGAAATTTATTTCTACTCCTTCACTTGTTTCCCGTTAAAATGAAGTTTTTTTTTACCATGTTTATAATAGATTAAATGGACATCTCTAATGTTAATTATCGCTGAATTTTGTTTATTTTAATTATTTAAATCTAGTTATCGAGTTTTAATTTTAAGTATTTTTTTTTTTTTAAATGAAGCTTTGATATTAATGGTATGGCTAAATTACGTGCATATAGAAGCTTGTGTAGTAAGTAGTATAATCTTTTATATAGTAACGTGACGTTACATGATAAATTAATATAACATCGTGATATATTAGAATAAAACACGAGTCGAGTATTCAATAGAGTTATTACGAAGTGGTATTAAAATAGGTGTACATTTTGGAAATCTTGTAATTAAAATACCAATAAAAAAGTAAATAAATTTTTAATTACAAAATATTTGTATTTCATATCAAATAAATAATTTTAATTTCTTTTAGTTTAAATTAAATCATTTAAAATAATAGTTGGTATGGTATCTACTGAGTTATACTTAAATTGTCGTTATTTTTCGAATTTCAAATTATAAAAATTTACAAAGTTAAATGATATATGTTTTATTATTATTTGTATGTCGGTATATGAACAGCTAATTATGTCTCGTAAAAGCACTTTTAATTAATAAAATTATCAAAAAAAATTATTTTATTTGGTATTTATTTTAATGTATGGACAATGTCATTATTAACGTGGTCACATTTATATCTAACTCTAGACACCTTATCTTTATTTATTGCTGGCAAATTATGTAACATTTCATTGTATTCTCCAGGTCAAACATATCTTAATAATTAATTATTTAAAATTTCACGAAAAAATCACATTTAATTATGATTAGTTATAAAGTTATAAATTTATCGAGATATAACATTTTTTTAAATTATTTTTTAATATTTTTTAAGTTAGGTTTACAACATTTTTTTTATTAATTTAAAGCAAGACTCCAAAATTTACATTATTTTTAAAATTAAATTTATATGATTTATTAATTAATTTAGGAATAATTGGAAAGAATTATTTTCACTTTTTATTAAATTTAATTTAGAAATTTTGAAAACTTTAAAATATAACACATGTAAGGAATTATGAGTTAAAAAAAATATTCACGTAGCATTAATGAATATTAATTATATTTTTATAAATAGGTTGAATAAATATTTGGTTAAACTTTAAAATTATACAATTAAAATTTTTAATTTGGTAACCAATAAATTTTAAAATATTTAAAAATTTTAAATTAAACATAAAATTTAATTTTTAAATTTTTTAAAAAAATTAAACGTGAAATTTGAACCACTTAACCTATAATTTAATCCAAAAAAATGCTCAATTAAAATTACATGATTTTAAGAGAGGAGAACACGTTTACTATGGTGCATCCGCATGCAGAACATAAAAACCCTTCCTTTTTTTTTTCTTTCTTATTTTTCATTAATTTAATTTTTAAAATTCACCGTTTCAAGAGTTGGTGGAACACACGTCCTTGAACGACTTGCACCAAAATTTTGTATCATTTATTTATTTATTTATTATTTTATTAAAAATAATTTTACAGTTGACTTTTTATCTCTCATTATAAATATAAATATTGATTTAAATCTTCAATTAATAGAATTTTATAATTATTTAACTATTTTTTAAATTAAAAATCTAAATTAAAAGCTCCATTTAAAGAAAAAAATATATATAATTTTAACTTTGTTCAAGTAATTAATATAAATTACAATCACAGTTTGTTTCGATAATTGAAAATTTTATATATTTTTATTTCATGGGATAATTACAATCTCTAGCACGAGCTGATGACGATACATAACAAGCCAAAGCGAACAATATCTTCTAGCGGTGGATTTGAGTTGTTACAAATGATATTAGAGTCAGACATTGGGCAGTGTGCTGTTGAAGACGCTTGTGAGATCCCACGTCAGTTGAGGAAGAGAACGAAACATTCTTTATAAAAGTGTAGAAACCTCTCCCTAGCAGACGTGTTTAAAAAACCTTGAAGGTAAGCCCGAAAGGGGAAGCCTAAAGAGGACAATATCTCCTAGCGGTGGGCTTGAGTCGTTACAATCTGGAACCCCAAGAAAATGAATTGTGAGATTTCAGGTCAGCGGGATGATGTGAAAGTCTCTACCTTTAAAATTAAAATATTCTAATGTTATTTATTTATGTAGAATTATTATTGTAAAAATTATTTTTGACTTTTAAGGGTAATTTTTTTTTTTAATTCAAAGGGCATAATTGACTTTACTAAGTATTTATTATTATTATTATTATTTTTAATTTCTCCGCGCATGTTAAATGTCTTTAAAGCTTATAGAACTAATAAGCACGGAGCTAAAGTTGTAAAGGGTAAAATTGTAATTTAAAAGACAATTAACGTTGTTCTTTGTTAAAGAAATATATCAAATAGTTATCTTTCAATCCCGAGTATAATTCAACTGATTTAGTTGTTCAGACTTATATCATTTACTAAACAGATTAGTCTGAAACTCGGGAAAAAAAAACGTTTTCTCTCGCTGGCTTTGTTTTTTGTTACTTAAAATTGAATGAAATGGTGAGTTGGAAGTGGAAGACATACTTAGCTTGGACATTAAGCTACCATGATGGTTACCTCTCACTATAATGGCGATGATAATTTGCAAAAGATTTCATACACATCAGCCACCATTCATCATCATAATCATTTATTTTAATCTCATTAATAATAAGTTAATACGTAATGCTTTTATCCGTTATATATCGTCGTGGTCCTCACGATTTTAAACACATTTTATAGGAAACGGTTTTTACATTCATATAAGGGATGCATTGTAACGATCCAAGCCCACCGTTAGGAGCTATTGCCTTCTTTGGGTTTTCCCTTTCGGGCTTACCCTCAAGGTTTTTAAAACGCGTTTGCTAGGGAGAGGTCTCCACACTCTTATAAAGAATGTTCCGTTCTCCTCATCAACCAATGTGGGATCTTACAAGCGTCTTCAACGGCACATTGCTCGGTGTCTGGCTCTAATACCATTTGTAACAACTCAAATCCACTGCTAGAAGATATTGTCCACTTTGATTAGCCTGTTATGCGTGTGCTAGAGAGAAGTTTCTATGTTCTAATAAGGAATGTTTCGTTTCCATCTCCAACCGAGGTGGGATCTCACATAATAAAGTATTTGATTAATTATTTATTTACAAAATCTCTAAAATTTAATATTATGATATTTCATATAATAATTAATAAAATATATGTTCCATAGTACAATATAATAATTAAATGGAAAATTTAAACAAAATTAAAGTGTTTCTTATTTGGAAAGCTATTAAGGGCATTTATTTTTTTTACCAATCTTTGGTCTCTAGACCAAGCAAGTATACATTAGCATGAGTGAGCTATGTGTGTAGGCTTCAACTGAAACTTCTATAGGTTGGTATGGTGTTGAATTTAACCACAGTCATTATCAAAAGGTGAAATATTTGGGTAAAAAACACAAAAATTGGAACCATTTAATCGAGATTGGTGAAGTTTATGATGAAAAACGGAATTTAGGAGTGTGTATGGGTTGAGTTCGGGAAATGTTTTGGACCAACCCTCTATTTTCGGGTTGAGTTAGGTTGTCGAGTTGTTTTTTTTTTTCTTTAAGTTATTTTAAAGAATCTTAGTTGTCCATAAAACATATTACGTTGATAACTAAAAGCTCATAAAATTCAAATACTCCTAATATTCATAATAATCTTAAAAATAAAGTTGGGTTGATTTGTAACCTTATTTTCGAGTTAGTTGGATTGAATTGACCAAAAAAAGTCAACCTATAAACTGACTCGAATTTTTCAACTTTTAAAAAATTCTTAACCCAAACTAGAAAAAAAAAAAACTCTAACTTAACCCAACCTTAGGGTTTAGATTGGGTAATCTAGATTGGTCAGATTCTCGAGTCGTTTGAATGCCCCTAACAAAATTGGCATTGCCCAAACTTTGGAAACCAAAAAGATAATGTACTCAAGTTAATATTATTGTAAATACCTGAATCACGGTCCACAAATTCATGATACTCAAACGATTAACTTTATTGAGAAAAACTCATTCAAATACGTATGTTTTACACCTATAAGTGTCCTAATCAACTCTACTACATTCGAAAGAGCTCGTCAGATATAAGTTATATGATGCTTATTGACCACGAGGGCAACTCATCGTATCGTAGTTGAACACATAATTTTTTATTCTAAAAAATGAAAAAAATATACTTCGAAACACAGTTTCTAAACCTATCTTAATTCTCTTTCACATTGAGCTACCATAAATGCGTATTTATTTCCTAACTTTTTGTCTTAAAATAGGCAGAAGGCAACTTGTATTACACTTTACTTAAAGCAGCTGTGCTGCTATCGTTTCTTAATGCAGGTTGGTATAACACTTCAGTCTTGATCTTCTCATGATCTGCTACTGCATTTGTAAATCTTACTGTTTGCTTCAGCAATGAACTGTAGAAAAATTTGCTATCAGAAGATAGAACTAAAAACAGCTCACTGGATTAACGGATTCTAGTATCTTAAAGTACTTCTAAAGTGTGAGATCCCACTTCGGATGGAGGGGGGAACGAAGCATTCTTTGTAAGAGTGTGGAAACCTCTCTCTAGCAAATGCATTTTAAAACCTTGAGGGAAAGCTCGGAAGGGAAAACCGAAAGAGGACAACATTTGCTAACAGTGGGCTTAGGTTATTACAAATGGTATCAGAGTCAGATATCAGTCAGTGTGTCAGCGAGGATGCTGGGTCCCGGAGGTGGATGGTGAGATTCCACATCGAGTGGAGAGTGAAACGAATGCCAGCAAGGACACTGGGACCCGAAGGGAAGGATGGATTGTGAGATCCCACATCAATTGGAGAGGGAAATAAAGCATTCTTTATAAGAGTGTAGAAATTTCTTCCTAGCGTTTTAAAACCTTGAAGGGAAGTCCAGAAGGGAAAGCCCAAAGAGGACAATATCTGCTGGCAATGGGCTTGAACTATTACAAATGGTATCAAAGCTAAACACCGGGCAGTGTGCCAACACGAACATTGGGCCTTAAAGGGGGTAGATGGTGAGATCCCTCAACAATTGGAGAGGAGAATGAGTGCCAACGAGAACGCTCGGCCCCAAAGGGAGGTGGATTGTGAGATCCCACATCAACTGGAGAGGAGAACGAAGCATTTTGTTTAAGGGTGTGGAAACCTCTCCCTAGTAGACGCATTTTAAAACCTTGAAGGAATGCCAGAAGGAAAAGTCTAAAGAAGACAATATCAGCTAACAATAGACTTGGACGGTAACATGAAAGGTTCGGTTTAGTCCATATACTTTCAACTTTTATTCCTTTTAGCTTATGAACTTTCAAAACGACCCAAATTGGGTCCCTATTTGCAAAACTCTAAAATAGATTCACTCCATAATAGGAACCCTGTAATTAATTACAAAGCAATTCCAAAATGGATATCCATTTTGGCCCAAAACAACCAGCTGCTCACATTTCTATGGACATGAAAGATAATGGAGCTGTCATTACAAAATGTTGATATTTTACAACAGAGAAACCTAATAACAATACCAAAACTGTGGTAATAAGAAAACAGGGGCAAACTTGACGAGCTAAACCCAGTTCCTATAAGTTAAATTCCTTCATCATATTATCAGCCACAGGTGAAAATGGGAGCTTTCCCTAATCTAATGCTTCATAACAACATGAAAGCTATTTAAACCTTTACCTTATTCAACTCAAGCTCAGAAGCTTAGCAGAGAAGCCATGGCGGATCTCTCGTGTTTTCATGTCAACTCCCGGGAAGTCTATTTTTCTTTTCTTTGCGTTCATGGAGATATTCCAGGAACATGAGGAACGGGTGGCTTTGGTTTCTTTATTTTGTCCACCATTATGGCTTGAGTCGTTAAAATGATCCCAGCAACTGAGGCTGCAATCTGAAGTGCACATCTTGAAACAAGGCAAGGATCTAATACACCAGCATTAATAAGATCTTCATACCTGTCTGCCATAGCATTATACCCATGTCGCCAATGGCAGGCTCGAGTTTTCTCCACAACAACTACTCCGTCAACGCCTGCATTACTTGCAATGAATTTTGCTGGTGCAAGAAGTGCCTGCAATATGTTGCAATATTCATCTTCTTCATAATAGAATATACTTGGATTATCTACCAAGAACACTAGCATCCAAGTCTAAGCATTCCATTTCACCATATCAAAGAGGTATTAAGATAATAGCAGTTCGATTTCCACTAAAGAATGAAGAGAGGTGGAAACAAAGGCAGAGAAAAGGGGTATCCACAATACCTTGCCCACAATATCGGCACCGATCTGCTCGTCTTGATCTTCCATTGAATGTTTTATGGAAGGAAGAAATTCAGAGAGATGAACATAGGTAGCACCTCCACCAGGAACAATGCCTTCATTCATGGCAGCAAATACCGCATTCTTTGCATCCTCAATTCTGAGTTTCCTGTCTTCAAGTTCCACCTCAGTATGTGCTCCCACCTGCTTTGACCACATTACCACATACAATAAAAAAGAAGCAGAAGAAAATATTTTACTCCTTGGATGTTGTACTGTTCATAAAAAAAATAACACAACAATGAACCAGATCAAGACTTGCAAGGATAGGGTCACAAGAAAGTAAAGGCTAGAGCCGGCCTATATTTAGCTGTGTTTCATATTATATTCAAGAAAATTATGGCCTTGAAGTCAGCAAAGAAGATCTGGGAATTCTTCAAAGGTGAGTATAAAGGAGATGAAAGGATTAAGAACATGAAAATGTTGAACTTGGTGAGGGAATTCAAGAGAATGCACATGAAGGTTTCTGAGTCCATTAACGAATACTCAGACAAGTTGATTAGGATTGCTAACTAGGCACTGTGGGAAGCATAATCATCCAAACTTTAGAAGCTAGAGAAAGCCAGATGTGACGTGTAGGAGGTGTAATTTAATCGGGCACTTAGAGAGGTTCTGTAAGGAAACTCAGGAGCAAGGAGGAGCACATGCTGCAATACAACAAGAAGAAGATCGGCTCTTTGTGGTTCTTCATGTTCCTTCTCTTCAAATGTCTTGGACCCCTTTTAACATGCTCACAAAGGAACAAGAAGCATTCAACTTGCAGCTCACGGAGGCTATTTGGAAGGCTACCTATCCTAAGATGTGCAATGCTTTCTTCTCGACCATGTTTCTCGAGAGTTTAAACACTCGGGATAAAATCTCAAGAAAGGAACCTAAATAGATGAGAATCTCCTTCTTGTTGTGTCATCTCCGAAACAGGCAGTGCTGCCTGTCTCCTTCTAAGTGTTCCATTCACCTTGAAACTATGGTGGAGATTTACTTGAAACTTTTTCTAGACCTTCAATCCCACCCAGCATCACATAAGCCCTCTCATTGGGACTGCCAAATTTTCAGTCGTAAGGCAAAAATCTTTTTGTGTGATGGAATAAGGGCTCTCCTTAGGAAAGTTCACTCGAAAAAAGGATTGCAAGAGTCTTTTGCGAGATCCCACATCGGTTAGAGAGGAGAACGAAGCATTCTTTATAAGGGTGTGGAAACCTCTTCCTAGCAGACATGTTTTAAGAACCGTGAGGCTGATGGCAATACGTGACGAACTAAAGCGGACAATATCTGCTAGCGGTGGGCTTGGGCTGTTGCAAATGGTATCAAAGCTAGATACTGAGCGGTGTACTAGCGAGGACACTGGCCCCAGGGGGTGGATTGTGAGATCCCACATCGGTTGGAGAGAACGAAACATTCTTTATAAGGGTGTGGAAACCTCTCCCTAGCAGACGCGTTTTAAAAATCGTGAGGTTGATGACTATACGTAACGGACTAAAGCGGACAATATCTGCTAGCGGTGAGCTTCAGCTGTTACATCTTCCAAGGAGAAGAAGGCAACAAGGAGGAAGGATCTACAAGAAACGGTTGTTTTTATGGTCTCATCATGAAGTGATTCTTTTTGCAATAACCCCCCATATTCAATTGAAAAGTGTTTTTCTAAACCTTGGCCTTTGAAGGGTCTCTCCCTTTGATATATAAGATACTTCCAACCAACTTCCATTTAAATACTGCACTAAAAGGTAATCTGCTTTCAGTTAATACGACGAGGAAGAACTAAACCCATCGCCATGGTTTCCATAGCTAATAGGGGTAGGAAAAAAATTTCAGTTAGTCAGGGCCAGTATATGACACATAACAGGAAAATCATCTAGTCAAATAAATGGTGAAAATTCTCATAAAAGCTCCACCTCCAACTATACTTTTAAACCACAAACCTTGATGACAGCAACTCCACCAGAAAGCTTAGCAATCCTCTCAGAAAGTTTTCTCGAGAGGTAGGAATTATCTGTTTCAACAAGATCCTTCTTAATCTGTGAAATTCTTGCTTGAATTTCAGCTTTAGTAGAGGGATCTGCAACTATTGTTGTTGAATTAGATGTTATAACTACTTTCCTAGCAATTCCAAGCTGGTCTGACGTTGCACCCTCGAGTCCTAGACCCAAATCTCCAGAGAGAAAATCAGCACCTGACGATTTTAAAATAAAGTCAACTATCTAATATCGTATCGTAACATAATCAGATAGTCATAACATCATTCTCCCATACTATGTTAAATCATCACTAAATCCAAAAGCTTAAGCAGATGGGTTATTGTGAATTTAGTTATATCATTACTTTAACAAGTTCAACATAACATGGGAGGCAAGGATGATGAGTGCTCGAACAGGAAAAAAAACGGCTTACTATAAAGCTTATCGAGGGCAGAAGAAGAATAGAAATAATAGCACCAAAATACCTATATTGAGGTCTCAATATGCACTCTGAAAAATAAACCTGAAAGATTTAAATAGAGTTTCTACCGTCTCAAATACTCATGGTATAGCTTTGTGAAAAGTTGGACACGTCCCAAAAATACTCTAGGATCTTTCCAGTAACCATGAAAACTGACACAAAGGTGTGCTATACAACTTCAGGGCAAAATGCAATACAAGCAATGAACGGAAAGTGTAAAAGCCCAAGCCCACCGCTAGTAAATACTATCTGTTCTAGCCCATTACGTATCGTCGTCAGCCTCACAGTTTTAAAACGCGTCTACTAGGGAGAGGTTTCCACACTCTTATAAGAAATGCTTCATTCCCCTCTCCAACCGATGTGAGATCTCACAATCACACCCCTTGGGGGCCTAGCGTCCTCGCTTGCACACCATTCCTCTAATACCAAACAGCTCAATCCCACCGCTAGCAGATATTGTCCGCTTTGACCCAATACGTATCGCCGTCAACCTCACAGTTTTAAAACGCGTCTACAAGGGAGGAGTTTTCACATCCTTAAAGGAATGCTTTGTTCCCCTCTCCAACCAATGTGTGATTTGACAGAAAGCCTAAGAATATGCAGGCATTTTAAGTGCTACTCAAAAAAATCTGAACGGAAAATCGATAAAAGATGATAAGTTTACATTACCACCATAATGTTTAATATAATTAAATAAAATTCGATGTATAATGTCATTGAACCAGAAAACCTCCCCTCTTCCAAAACCCCGAAGCAAACGTATAAGAGCAACACAAGTCTTGAGTAAATTTTATTACTTAGATGTGCCACTGAAATAACAAACATTTAAGCATGCATATAGCAGTTCATAAAAGCATTTAGTTCACCTGTCATTAGTGCAATATCTTGCAATAGAGATTTCTTTCTTTCACCAAGCCCAGGACATTTTACAACCGCCACATTAACTAAACCCTGTACCTTGTTCAGCACTAGAGTTTCTAGAACTTGTCTCGAGATGTCCTCTGCAATTATCAGCAGAGGAAGACTAAGTTGTATGGTCTTTTCCAACAAAGGAACGATTTCTTTGACAGTCGAAATTATTTGATCGGTTACTAGGACTTTTGCATTGTCAAACTCCACAATAGACTTATCTTGATTTGTAATAAACTGAGGCGACATGTAACCTTTATCAATCTGTGGAAAGAGATACAATCGAACCATAAGGAAAAATGAAGAGACAACGATATAGATTTTCAGATGCACATGACATAGACTACACGAGCGGTTTTGCAGCTAAATTGTTTACCTTCATTCCTTCCTCTATTATTACACAAGTTTCTGAGGATTTGGACGACTCGATTGAGATCACACCATCAGGGCCGATCTTTTCTATAGCTTCAGCAATCAAGTTCCCCACATATTCATCATTTCCAGAAGATATCATCGCAACAGCTGCAGAAAGGACGAGGCTAGCTCAGCACCATTTACTTCCCAAATGAAACTTCACCAGTGTTCAACCAGATGAGAAGAAAGAACCTTTAATATCATTTTTTCCTTGTACAGGAGTACTTTTCTTCTTTAAGACCTCGATTAACTCCTTTACAGTCTTATCCATTCCTTTCTTTAACGAAACCGGATCAGCTCCAAAGGAAACTGCCAATAATCCAGATTTGATCATTTCACGTGCCAAAATTATTGCAGTGGTGGTTCCATCTCCAGCCAAGTCATTCATTTTACTAGCAACCTGAAAGCCAACAACTCAAAGATATATATCTTAGATGTTTAAACCCAACCCAAGCAAGTTTTAGAACAATTGAGATTTTAACTAACAACCATGAATAACCTCTTGGATCAGCACCACTCCTGCATTCTCAATTGCATCCGAAAGCTCAATAGCTTTAGCAATCGTAACCCCGTCATTAACCACCTTAAGCGTTTCCTTTTCTGAGAGAATAACATTGCGTCCTGCACGTTTTGGCGAAAAAACTACTAAAATATCTAAGACTGATAAGATACAGCTACTATGCATCATTCTTGAACCATTCACAGGGTAGATTGAACAATAAAGAACTAATTACCAAATAGTTACAGATTTAAGTGGTCAAAACCACGTTAAAAGTTCTTCGCACAAATCCATTTTTAAATGGTCAAACTTTCCCCTCTTTTCCTTCAGTCACTTCAGAAATTATAACTCCAGCAAATCGTGTTTCATACATTTCCTCCTAAATTTCTTCAAATTAGAAGCAATTGATTAACTAAAATATAATGCAAAGCCATTTTGTTTACAGAAACAACATCTTAAACTCACCACTTCAAGTCCAGCACACAATTTAACCAATAAATCGAGCACAGTAAGAATTAGACATTGGTTTCCCACACACACACACACACAAGCATATGCAATATGGCATATCCAAGCTCAAGAAAATGAGTAGAATTAAAGAGGATATGACGGCCCACAAACCTTTGGGTCCTAACGTGACAGAAACAGCATCAGCTAACTTATCAATACCAGCTAGCAATGCCCCTCTGCATTCTTTACCAAAAGAAATCCTCTTAGGACCGGCCCTGACGACAAGATTTCTCATCTTCCATGAATTTCTCGCGTACCGAAATAGCCTTTGGCTCCCACCGAGCTTCTGCAGAACATCCAGAAACGCGAAGTGACGGAACGGATGCATATACAGAGAAGATTTGCCGTAACAGAGAAAGAAATAGACTAACCGTTGCAGGGAAGAGTAGAGTTCGGGGAACGGCAGCCGGTGAGGAAAGACGGGCGGGAACTTCCATGAGGTTGTTGGCGTCGTCGAGAAGAGAAGAGACGACGGGTCATTCGAACAGAGGTTTAGTGGGGGTTTTATCCACTTACACCAGTCTGGACTCGGAATCCATGCCTGAGCTCTCCCTCACTCGCTTTGGCCATACGAATGGTGTACAGAGATTTATTTAGGTTTGTGTGAGATTATACAACCTAGCTTCTGTTAAAGCGGACAATATCCATTAGTGGACAATATCCATTAGTGGTGAGCGGTGAGTTTAGATTATTATAAATAGTATCAAGAGTTCTCTAATAGATGTGTTTTAAAATTGAGTCTGATGGCCATATGTAACCGGCCAAAGTGGACAATATTTATTAGCCGTGGACTTGGAGCTATTACAAATGGTACCAGAACGTGGAAACACTTCTCTACTAAATGTGTTTTAAAGCAGTGAAACTAACGACGATATGTAATGAACAAAAGCAAACAATATATGTTAGCAATGTGTCAGCGAGCACGCTAGACCTAAAAAAAAGGTAGATTGTGAGATCCTACATTAGTTGGAAAGGGGAACGAAGCAAAATCTCTTCGTGTAAAAGTGTTTTAAAACCGTGAGGATAATGGTCATATATAATGGCCCAAAACTGACAATTAACGGTGGGCTTGGACTATGAGAAATTTTTTTGACCTGAATATTTGAATTAGTGACTTGGACAAAGTTTACCATCTAACTCTTTGGAATTTTAACGGTATTAATAATAGTATTTTCATATATATATATATATATATTACCATCTAACTCTTTGGAATTTTTACCATATTAATAATAGTATTTCATATATTTTTTTTTTTTACAATTAACTCTTTCGAATTTTTACCGTATTAATAATAGTATTTCATATTTTTTTTAATAAACTTTCATAATTATCCATCCTCAATATTTTATGGACATTTACATATTTTGATGGCAAGTAATTTTAAAATTCAAGGAAATCTGATAAAATATGACTATTTTGGAAATTATTATTATTTTTTTTTACCTAAAATATATTATTCAATTTTCATATAATAATAAACACTTTTGGATTTAAAATCACTCAAATTTACAAAATAATAATAATAATAAAAGAATTAAAATAAAAAATTACAATAGAGACTGAGTTTAACTATGAAGATGTGTTTGATTAATGAATATTACAGTTAAAAGATGAGCTTGATTAATGAATATTACCGTGATAAAATACTTGTACTTGCACATTAGGCTGTTAAATTTTGTATTTAAAATTTATATAAAAACTAACCAAATATAATGCTATATAAAATTATAATTTAATTTGATAGGATAATAAATAAGAAAATTTATCTGAGCCTGTCAAACAATACCATATGAGGTAAAAAAAATGGTAGATTATATTTTTCACTCCCGTTCAGTCAATGGCTAGAAATTTATCTCGAATCGCTCTCTAATTTATAACAAAATACACGACCTACTCTATTCCCGGAGTTAACCAAAATTAAGAATAAGAATACAATGCTAATTTATAACAAAATACACGACCTACTCTATTCCCGGAGTTAATCAAAATTAAGAATAAGAATACAATGCAAGACCCGCTACAATAAGAATAAAACAAATTAGAAGAGAGAAAAACAACAGTGGCACGTGGCACCAGCACCCGAACTCAACGTTCTTATGTTTTAAGAAAATTGTCCGCTTAAGTTGTTATTTTATTTGTATTTGTTTCGATATATTTCGATCATGGGTTCATATCTAGCAGTGAGACGGGTAGGCATCTCGAACAAAGGCCTCTTTTCCTGGATTTTTCACAACATAACAATAGTTGCAGATTCAAAGGGATCAAATTATGGATCTGAGTGGGGAAATTTCCACCATTTTTGTGAGTCTTACAAAGGAAAAGGAAATCCAGAAGACTTGAAGAAAAAGAAAAGGAAGGAAGATCTGATAAAGGCTGCCGACATCTTCAATGAACTCTCAGTGCTTTGAATCTTCTTCTTCGCAGAACTTGGAGTACTGCTCAGAGTCCATCAAATTCTTCAGTTCATTACTGTCACTCACCTCCACCTTAATTATCCATCCATTCTCATATGGGCTTGAGTTCACCTACGTTATTAACACATACATATTCATCAAGAACACCCAAATCACTCGTACTCATACTCATAATATACAACACAAAACAAAACAAAAAGCTATAAACAAAGGAATTGCTGTGTATGCATTGAGCCCAAGCCCGCCACTACCAAATATTGTCCGTCTTAGTCCGTTACGTGTCGCTGTCAGCCTTACGGTTTTAAAACGCGTCTGCTAGAGAGAGGTTTCTACACTCTTATAAAAAATGTTTTGTGAGATATCATAATCCACTCCCCTTTGGGGCCAGCGTACTCGCTGGCACTCGTTTCACTCTCTAACTGATGTGGGATCTCACAATCCACCCCCTCCAACCAATGTGGGATCATTCCCCTCTCCACCTCATCATTCACCCCCTTCGGGGCCCTAGCATCTAGCATCCTACCTGGCAAACTACCCGGTGTTTGGCTCTAATACCATTTGCAATAGCTCAAGCCCACCATTAGCAGATATTGTCTACTTTGGCCCATTACGTATCATCGTCAACCTCAAGGTTTTAAAACGCGTATGCTAGGGAGAGGTTTCCACACCCTTATAAAGAATGCTTTGTTCCCCTCTCTAGCCGATGTGATATATCACAATCCACCCCCCCTCCCCCCTTTGAGGCCCAACGTTCTCACTTGCACTCGTTCCCCTCTCCAACCGATGTGAGATTTCACCCAAAATGACTAGAAAGTTTTCGGTAGAAGCAAAGGGGAAGATAATTAAAGAAACGGTAATTTGTTAAGAAAACGTCCAAAGGTATTGGCAGGTTGTCTCCTGAATATGGCTAAAGAAAGCTGAATAATCCAAAGAATATAGAATATAGAATATGCAATATGCAAACTCCAATGACAACATTTTCATGATACAAGAAGAGTTGGTATGACTCAAATGAGCAGCAAATCTACCTTCACACATTTACATTAACCAGATATTTCGAGAGAGATCTCGCATAGTATGAGCTACTAGTGCACTGCTTTATATCACCAACGTAAACATGTCAAGTAATGAAACTACGACTCGAGTCATTCGTTAAATAGAAACCATCTTAAAGTATCTAAAAGTGCAAAGAAGAAGTAAAATAAACTTAATAATGAGTAAGAATATGAGGTCGAGGAACCCACCAGACCAGGGGAACTGCTGAGCTCGTCATTGACCTCAACGATTTTCCCCGACACAGGAGAGTTAATATCACTGGTAGCCTTGACACTTTCTACCGCACCAAAGCTGCCATCCTGTTTAACAGAGGCTCCAATCTCTGGTAATTCAACATAGACAACATCACCCAAATGATCTTGAGCATGATCAGTTATGCCAATAGTTGCTTTATCCCCTTCTACTTTCACCCATTCATGAGAGGTGGCATACTTCAAATCCTTCACAACTGCACAAATTCAAGGTACAAGTTATTTCCCTTCACATGTAGTTTTAAACATAAACTTGACTGCTAGATATTCCATAATTCCATTGCAATGCACTATAAATGCAAAAATTGGACTTCCATTGCAATCATGTGACCGTACGAAACATTATACTCTCAATTTTGCTCGCTTGTAAGACGTCGAATAATTGAGAAACAGCTTGCCGTTCCATAAGACTATGCTATATAATGTATTATCATACAAATGTACATGTGCCTCTTTTGCTCCTCATATGGATTTTATACTTCTACATCCGATCCCTTTCATTGCATTGTTAAGTAGATGCAAATATCAAGAATATGAAGTGCAAACTTCCAGAAATGAAAATTATCACAACATTTTTGTTATAGAAAACGAACAGAAAGTTATTGAAAACAATAAATTCAGGAAGGAAAACTAATATCAAAACTAGAAAACTACGTAGTTAACAATATCAGCAGCTAGAAAGGTCACCAAGGCACTGGTGTTAGTTCAAATAACAAGATTGAAATAAGAACACATGAACAAATTAAAGGAAGGCGATGAAAAGGAAAGTAGAATCGAATATCATGTTTGAGATTCATCACATCATAATTCAAATGGAAGGTGAAAAGATTTATAAACCGGTTCGAAATTCAAAAAATCATAAAGCAGAATGGCAGATATTCATCCATCTGCCTAAGATTCTAGATATTCATTATATAATCACCTCAATAATTCACAAGACAAATACAAAAAACGAAACAAATCCAGCAATTCATGCCACCGATCAAACAAACGGCAAATATAAACAAAACTCATCGCTGGAAACTGAGATCTTCCAATGTGAAAAGCAGATCGATCAGTTTCATTTCTTTTCGCCAACATTAAAAATTCATCTACCGCACAATCAGGCTAACAAAAATTGAGAAAGAAAAAAGAAAACCAGTACATAAAAAACGTGGATTCGGCTCACCAGAAGCAAACCCTCTATAGGGAATTGAGATCCTGAGAAATGAAGCAGCTCTTGAAGCCCAAAGCAACCTCGACGCCATTGATGAAACTTAGAAAGCTCTGTAAAAACCCTTTTCTCGACAGAAGCTTGTTTCGCTGCTAAATGCTTTGGCTCGCCGTCACTTCTAAGAGATCAGTTTCATGAAAGGGACTTTTATTAGCTTTCAGGGATCAGTATCACAGTACAGTAGCTGTGGAGATGCCGCCTATAATATATATATATATATATATATAATTTCATTTTATTTTCTTCGTTATTAAAAATACCTTTAAACTTTATCCTTTAAAAAATACTTTTAATATTTTAATAATGTTTCAAAAATACAATTTAACTTTAAAAAGTTTTCATACCCTTTCATCTCTTTTAAAATTTAAAAATATCTTTATTATTACTATTATTTTAAAAAATATATATATAATTTTAAAATTAATACTAACACCTTAACTTTTATAATAATAGTTAAAAAAAATTTTATGGTCAATATATGGAATATATGGATGGAAACTGTCTCAATACTTCATAAATTGTCTTCAAATCTTTTTAACGTTAGTTCTAAAAGTTCGTATTTTATTTTTTTTTAAATTTGTGTTTTTGACCTTTAAAAAAAAATTTGAAGGTATTAATAAAAATTTTCAAAACTCAAATCTATTAAAAAAAAAAGAATTTTTTAAAAATAATTTTGAAACTTGAATGATATCTTTACAATAGAGTATTAAGAATTTAAAATAATAATAATAAGCGTAAAGGTATTTTAAAAATAAAGTATAATTTTTTTTAATTTAAGTTTTTTTATTAAAATATCTTTTAAATATATAATGATATAAATTTTTTCCTAACTCAAATAATATTTATTAAATAATAAATCCAATCAAATTTGACCCTAATTTATTTAAATTTTATTTTTAATAAAAAGTAAAAATTTAATTCATAAAATATCTATTAATTTTTTAGAACATTTAATTAATATCAGTCATTTAATTTTAATATATATTTTTAAAAATTATTTTTCAAATAATTAAAATTAACATTAATATTTTTTCATTTATTTGAAAATATTTCAATTCAAATAGGTTCATAATCTCGTCTAAGTGGTACGAATTAGATCACGAATTAGATTGAATTGATCGAATTTTTACGAGTTCATATCCATTTGGTCCCACGTTTGAGCGTGAGGATGACAGGTGGTGGGTCAATGTGTCAACAATAAACCCACTTTCGCCACAGGCAAGAAACTGAGAATGGGAGGTAGGTGGGCTTTGTTTGGTACCTAAAATTGTGTGCTTATTTTGGAATTTTTCTATTTATTTTAATTTCTTCTTACAATTTACTCTTTTTTTTTCTTTTTCTTTTTTTTAATGGGAATAATATTTTTCAAATAAAATAAAAAAAGAAAAAGATTTTCGGAATAATACTTTATTGACAATAAATACTTTATTTTATTTCATTATCATTCAACTTTTTTTTATAAAGTTTTTAATTGAAACTTTTAGATTTCACATTTTTTTTTCATTGGTTTGATGAGTACAAGAGTTTGAAACACTATCGCCCCTGGTGTCAGACTTTGACACCATTTGTAACCGTTTAAGTTCATAGCTAGTAGACATATTATTCTACTTGGATTTTTCCTTTCAGGCTTCCCTCAAGGTAGGTTTCCACACCTTACAAATATTGTCCTATTTGAACTTTCCCTTTTAAGCTTCCCCTCAAGGTTTTTAAAACGCATGTGCGAAGAAGAGGTTTTCACACCTTTATAAACAATGTTTCTGTAACAACCAAAATCCACCTCTAGCAGATATTGTCCTATTTGGGATTTCACTTTCGCGCTTCCCCTCAAGGCTTTAAAACGCGTCTACTAGGGAAAGGTTTCTACACCCTTATAAATGGTGATTTATTCTTCTCCCAACTAATATGGGACATCACAATCCACCCCCTTTGGGGCCCAGCGTCCTTACTGGCACACCGCCTCTTGTCTACCCCCTTCGGAGAACAACGAGAAGGCTGACACATTATCCGGTGTCTAACTCTGATACCATTTGTAACGCCCCAGATCCACTGCTAGTAGATATTGTTCTCTTTTGGCTTTCCCTTTCGGGCTTCCCCTCAAGGTTTTAAAACGCGTCTACTAGGGGAAGTTTTCCACACCCTTATAAATGGTGGTTTGTTCTCCTCTCCAACCAATGTAAGACATCACAGTTTTGTTCTTCTCAAGAATGTTACAAACAAGGCAGAAGATTATGAATTCAGACAGGCAATAGAGTTTTCACATCTTTATGTATTGTTCTAACAACATTTGTAACCTGTTCAATCTGTTCTACACTTGAGCATGCTGAGAGAAGTACTTTGGCAGTTCCTCCATCTGGATAACAACCAGCATCAATCATCTCTTCAAATATTTCTAAGCATCTTTTGTAAAGCTTCTTTCTCGAGTAGGCGCCAATCCGTGACGTCCACGTCACGACGTCGGGTTCTAAATTTTTTGCAGGAAGCATTTGAAACAATTCCTCCATTCTCTCCAAGAAACCTGCTCGTCCATAGACATTGATCAAGATGTTGTACGTGCTGATATCTGCTCTATATGGTCCTTTTTGCATGGTAGAAAGAAGATCTTCCATTTTTTCAAATTGACCTAAACGGCCATAAAGATTAAGCATGCTGTTCACCACAAATGTGTCTGGTTTTAGCCCTGATTTATGCATCTGACCAATAATATCTTCACATTTAGCTGTATTGCCAGCGTTTGAATAGGCAGATAAAAGAAGCATGAAGGATTTCATTGTTGGGGTTATCCCAATTCGTCTCATTTCTTCGAAAACGGATTGTGCATCTAAATTGCATAAGGTTTAGAGTTAGAAAAGCATTATAAGAAAATGATAGCTTCAATTTACACATATTTTTACACTTAGATCATTCCCTGGTCAGTCAATGCAACCTTCCTATCGGGAGGGAGTCCCATATTGGCTAATATAGGGAATGATGGGTTTATAGGTAAGGAATACATCTTCATTGGTATGAGGCCTCTTGGGGAAGCCCAAAGCAAAGCTATGAGAGCTTATGCTCAAAGTTGACAATATCATACCATTGTGGAGAGTCGTGATTCCTAACATGGTATCAGAGCCATGCCCTTAGTCATGCTCAAATGTCGAACAAAGAAGTTGTGAGTCTCGAAGGTGTAGTCAAAAGTGACTTAAGTGTCGAACAAAGGGTGTACTTTATTCGAGGGCTCCATAGGCCTCGGAGTAGGTTCTATAGTGTACTTTGTTCGAGGGGAGGATTGTTGGGATGGAGTCCCACGTTGGCTAATTTAGGAAATGATCATGGGTTTATAAGTAAGGAATACATCTCCATGGGTATGAGATCTTTTGGGGAAGCCCAAAGCAAAGCCACGAGGGATTATGCTCAAAGTGGACTATATCAATACCATTGTGAAAAGTCGTGATTCCTAACCCAACATACATAATTTGAGTTGGCTCTCTTTCTTTTTAATACCAGATTTTGATGATATGTATTCGGCAATGAGGGTAAACCTTGACGTCAATGAATTATCAATGGAAAAACTGTTAAATATATCCTTAAGTCTACATACCCTCATGAAGTCCAGCTCTTCCATATGCATCCACCATGATATTGTATGACGCTCTATCTGGTTCACACCCCATGTGTTGCATGAGTGAAAAAATTTCGGCTGCTCCATATGGATAGCCAGCACGACTGCAAGTGACCAAAAGGGTATGCTTTTTAATAAGGAAAAAATTACATCGAAAGGCTACTACGGTACTCTAAATTATTCTAATGCATGAAAAGATAAAGCTCACCCACAAAACATCAAATTTATAATCAATTCTTCAACATTGTTCTTAGATCAGAAATATTGTAACTATTAGAAGAGGAACATTAAATTTCGATTGCCTACCAAAGCTCACTAGCCATCAAGGTCCATATACCAGCCAGACATTCAAAGACTCGACCATTTTGAAGTGAACAGTGAAAACACTACTAACTTTTACGAATGAAGACTATATCTACAAAAAGATCGTACCAGATTAGTTTTACCTATATGACTCCATGAGGGCATTATAGGCATAGACATCCGGTTCATAACCAGCTTCTTGTAGTTGCTCAAATATTTCTTCGGCTTTCTCACAAAGCCCCTCTCTAGCAAATGCGTTTACTAAAGCGGTAAAGGTGCAGATGTTAGGTTTGCACCTTTGACTTCTCATTTCGTCAAATATCTTTAGTGCCATATGAGACTTACTTTCCTGCATGAACCTATGATTGTTAGGCTAGAAGGGAAAAGATTAAAAATCAAAACCAATTTCAAATCTACATAAGATTGTCATTATTTTACAGAAGCTTCAGGCCTTAAAGATAGCAGAACTTATTGTGGATGGTATGGTATTAACGCTCCATTGAATAGGTCAGGAAAGTGAATGAGGGTTTTGGATAACTGTACTAAAGCAAACAAGACATGACGAACTTTAAATGCTGATAAAAGAGTTCTTAATTTAACCTGTCTGGGCTCACCTTTCCATATATGTTTATTAACATTGTGTATGTATCTGTAGAGGGTTGGCACCCATCTCTCTTCATCCTGTGAAAGATCTCTACTGCTTTGCCATTGTTTCCACCCTTTACCAAACCATCAATATAAGCATTGTACACAATTGCACCTGTATAACAATTGACATAAATTTTAAATTTTCTTTGTTTCTTCTGTTCATTTATCTTGCAAGTAAACATTCAGTTTCTCAAGCCAGTTGTAGCAATGTCATCCTTTACTTTCAAAGTATCATCAATATATCTAAAACAGTAAAAAATACCAAACAAACTCTACTTTAAATTACTCAAAAGCTCAAAAACAAATAATTACTGGAATTGACATGACATGGCAGCATTGATTTGTTTATAAAAACAAAAAACAAAAGAATATGATGCATCAAGAATAATTTAATGGTCAAGATATGATTTCACGTGCAAGATTTTTGTATGACTAAGAATTATCTTTGAAGAGAAATTCAATACTAAGGCACATGTTTTGATATGAATTGAGGCTTAAATTTCTAAGCAAGAAGTTGATAATACTAGCTCCTTCTAGCAGATGACAAATGAGTAATAAACATACTTGGTGGAAGGCCATACTTTCGCATTTCAGCAAAGACAGCTTCAGCCTTCTCTAGCAATCCAGATTTGCAACAGGCCTTCAGAAGA